AAAGGATGGATCAATGCGATGGATCAATGCTTCGAGAAGCAAACAAATTTACTTGCATCAATTTTATTTTTTCCAATTTCAATTTTTTATTTTTTATAATTTTATGTATTTCACATGGCACGCTTTGATTTAGAAGAAAAAATTCAGAACAGTTTTTGACACTTTCGATACCAGAAGCAACAACAAAATACACGCAAATGTTGTTTTTGCTCTACTGATACTACCTGTTTAATGTGCCTTGGTGTGTACATAAATTTCGGCACCTCCGTTTGCGATTTAACATCAGGACACACACCACAAATTGAAAGAAACGTGTAAGCGACAAAATATATATAATTATTTTATTTCCATGCAATATAAATTTTTTGTAACTTCCAATCGAAAACTTACCTTTTTTCATAAAAAAACAACTTCCCTTGTTTTCAAACGCAATTTATTTAGAAAGTTTCAAAACCTTGTCCGCCGAAAATCTATTCCTTTTCCCCACTGCCACCATTTCAATAATACTAAAATTAAGATTAAATTTATTTAGGAAAACATTGAGTCCATCATGTAGTCTTGTCGAGCGCGACGATTGGATTCATCTTGGCGAAACTCGCGTAACTCTTCATAGACTGGATCATCGGTTTCCAATTCGTAACGGCACATTGGACATGAGTTGGCCTGAAATTTGCAAGCGAAACAAAATCAAAGACTTACTTCACTTACGCATCCCCACCGCAAATCATCTAACAAATGTACCTTTTTCAGCCACAGTAGCACACACTCCTCGTGAAACTCGTGCTTGCAAGGCAAAATTTTGTACTTCTCATCGACCTCTGCTGGCTGCTTGCAAACCGCGCACTCCAGTTCCTGAGCCACATCTGCTGCGGTAATGATATGGTCCGGCAGTGCGGCAATGGCGCGCTTAGACGCCTCGGGCACCTCGATTTCCATGTCGATGCCGTTCATGATGGCCAACACTTGCAGGCGCTTGAAATGTTTGGCAAAATCATTAGGACCCTCGGCGCCTGTCGGTTCGTGACCCATGTCTTCGAAATAGTCGGCCATTTTACTGCTGGAATTGTATGGAAAGAGAGGGGAGAAGGGAAAATAATAATGAAAATGGTGCTTCCAAAACGAGTTATTGTACCAAGGCG